TACTAAATTTTGTTGCCTAGTGCCTTTCTAAATTCTGCTTCCAATGTTTGCTCTAAATTCTAAACGTTTTACCATTTCTAGATTTTTGTTGCTCGGTGTGTCACTAAATTCTAAAAATTCTGTCACACCAGCTCTGTAACCGGCCCTTACCATATATATTTCATATTTCTTCTGAATGTTCATATCACCAAAGAAATAAAATTAGCAGCTTTTTCTATATATTCTAAATGAATTTAATTTTTTTTTGAATTACAAACATCTTTAATTAAATCCAAAAATTCTAAAATGAAAAGGTAATAAATATGTTGAAGAAAGAAACTGAATACGTGAAGAGAAAGAAAATTATTTTTCAAAGATATGTTCAGTTTTTATTATGTAAATTACCCAGTTGTTTATAATTTCAGCATTTACTATAATTTCCCATTCCTATTTCTTTACAAGAATGCAAATTACTTAGACAGTCTTTAAACTGAGGTTTCTGGATTGTAAGACAGTGTGTTTCTGACCTCCGGTTGCTCGCTGCATTAGTTCTTGCCTTTCTGAAAATTTTGTAATTATTCATCTTTGCATTATCACTGCCAACATTTGAATTTATTTATGACAATAGAATTACTGAGCCAGCTTAAATTCAAATTAAATTATATAGTTCTTGACTACTAGTCCACATTTTTAGTTTGAATTTGACCATTAGGAGCTGTAACTGATGTTGTTTTGAAAAATATATAAAAATTATTTTAAAATACAAATTTTAAAACTAAATCATAAAAAATGGGTGCCCATAATTTGGAATGAACCTAAATTTCAAAATATGAAAGGAAGAATCAACTAAATTTAACAAAAAAAGAGATATTAACAAATATATACCGAATTCAATTAATATTCAGAAGCTAAAATTTTGAGAGCTAATTTTTTAAAAACTACTAAAAACTACTCAAACTACTTAAAAACTACTTGTGCGAATTTTCCCAAACTTGGCAGTTTGGCATAATTTGAGTCGTAGCATCGAATACGGAAAAACATTGCCATGTCTTTTCAGAAAAATTCCGATTTTGTGTTAAAATACCCATATTAGAACAAAGCTATATATAAAGCTAATACATATCCTAAGTCTAGTGAGAACATTAGTTTGCATACTGAGACAAATTTCTAACTGTTAGAAAAGATGATTAAAGAAAAGGGAATATATATAAATAAGCCAAAATGTCTGGGAAGGCTTCAAATTAAAAAGATGCATAAATATTTTTTTGAGTGTTGTTGCTAGAAAACATAAATATTTTATAGCTTTAAATGGTAATTATCCTAATATCGTTTAAGAGTCAATGTCATAAATTGCATGTATTTGAACTGTGAAATTTTATTAGATTGTGATTTTAATAGGGCTTTTTTAACAAATGTTAAAAAATAAATAAAATTTAATACTGCTTATGTAAATCCATAATGACTAAGGTTATCTAACTACCTGATTTAGTTATTTATAACTAACTGCTTACCCTTAAAAATTATCTCTGCATATTAAAGCGAGTTATTGCCTTTTATTAATTCTTATCGTCGTCACAAGATAAAACACAATGTAAAAATTCATGTAAAACTTATTCTTCGCAACTAGTGAGACTTAGAATTATACAAACCAACTTATCACCTCTGATGCTTTAGTGGCTTATTGGAACCTTAAAGTAGATTAACTGGGTTACAAACTCAGGAGCTCTACACGAAGCTACAACACCTATTTACTAAGCTTCTAAACTGAGCAAGTATGGGACAAAATGAGACATAAAAAAAAAAAAAAAAAAAAGTAAACTATAGTAAATCAGCAAGCATAAAGTTAGTAAAAGCTAAATAAAATGTCACTTACCTTCTTTCAAATTTTCCAACTGTTATAAGTGTAAAATATTTAATGCTACTTGATAAATTTCATAAAGTTTATTTTACTCTCAAGCTTATTAATGATTATGTTAATGAATTCATGTTTGATAATAATTCATCCTACCTTCAGATCTATTTTATTTTTAGGCTGTTATTACAAAAGTGAAGGTTAGGCATAGATAATACCTTTGATTGAATTTATTCAGTTCCCGTTTGTTAATAGGTCTTAATTTTTTTCATTAATGGTCCTTAAAAGTACTGTAAAGGCCCTTTTTTCGCGGGCTGTAATTTTCGCGAAAATGAATATATCGGTGATTTCGCGAGCTGAAAATTTCGTGAATTTTATATGAAAAGAACCGAAAGTTGAAAAATTTCAAAAGTACCTAAGTAAAGTTGAAAAATTCCAAAAGTACATCTTTTGCATAAAGCATTTAAAGAAACTTCCTTTTGTCCGAAAAGTTCATCCCCTCCCGTTCCCGTCTAAATGGAGAGTTCAAACGTTTGCTCAAGAATGAGTTTATCGAGTGGTATTCTAATGAGCATCAATTTCTAGACGAAAAAGAATCTGTGGACTTGCGAATATCATGACTAAAACTGATTTACGCTTCTTGGCTTGTGCACGTATTTAACGGTATTGAAGCCAAACATGAGATAAATTTGAATGGCTCCAAAGAAGAAGCTGGTATAAATAGTATTCTAAATGAATGAGCTGCCTTGTATTAATTTTATTGTTTTATATTCGAGAAATATAGTTGTATATTATTCAAAAAATAGTTATAAGAAAGAAAGTTGTCAAGAAAAAGCTTGTAACTGTGCAATAAATCATTAAATTTTGGGTAAGGGGAAAATTTCTGATTTTTTATTCTTATTTTAGGCAGAATAAAAAAGTATTTTGCGAGGCTTAAATTTTTGCTATTACGATGGGCTCGGAAAAATCGCCTTTACAGTACTTAATTTCCGTGTGCACGAATGTGTACAAACCCTGCAACAAGATATTTAACATTGCTTTACATCAATAAATGGTAGATTACTAAGTTTATTGACAAAATTGTATTTATACTGAATTTTTTTATTGTATGTAAAACTACTTCGATAAATAAAATTGTCCGTATATTTATCAAGATATGTCTTGTATCCTTCTCAGGATTTTCTCTGTATAAAAGTGTGAGAAAATTGCCATATGAAATTAGCCAAAGAACACATGATTTAAAACATCTACTTAAATACGAGGGCTATCCAGAAAGTAGATTACGTTTTGGAATAAAAAAATAAACAAAGTATAGGAAACAAATTTTATTATATACAGATGAAAGCCACACTCAAATACTACTTTTCTACATAGTCACTATACAAATTAAGGCATTTATCGTAGCGATGTACGAGCTTGGAAATTCCTTCGTCGAAAAATTCGGCCACCTGCGCCTTCAACCACTTCGTTACCTCTTCTTGCAGCTGTGCGTCGTCATCAAAACGCTGCATAGCCAGCCACTTCTTCATTGCTGGGAATAGGTGGAAGTCGCTCGGTGCCAGGTCGGGACTGTACGGCGGATGAGGAAACAACTCCCACTTAAAAGATTCAAGAACTTTACGAGTGACAGTGACATTTGCCGTGTGGGGCCGGGCGTTGTCGTGAATCAACAAGATCTTAGAGCTCAACATTCCTCTGCGCTTGTTTTGAATTGCTCTTCTGAGTTTTTGGAGAGTTTGGCAATACCTTTGAGAGTTTATTGTAGTGCCTCTTTCCAGGAAGTCCACCAAAATTACACCTTTTCTGTCCCAAAAAACAGTCGCCATCATCTTCCTTGCCGACATTGTTTGCATGCATTTCTTGGGTTTTTGGGGGGAGAACTTGTGTGCCCCCACTGCATTGATTGCAATTTCGTTTCACAGTTCACATGTTTTCACCCATGTTTCGTCACCAGTAACGATGCGATCGAGTAAAGAGTCACCATCCTTATGGTAAGCGTCCAAAAAGTTCAACGCTGCAGCCATTCGCTGATTTTTGTTGGTCCTCTGTCAAGATTTTTGGAATCCATCTTGCACAAAACTTGTGGTAACCAAGCTGAATTTCGTGCAACAAAAAAACTTCGCGAAAAATTTGTGGAAAACTCAAAGAAAGTTTCCGTATTGTGAAATTTCGATTTTGCACGGACTTTCAGCATCGACTTTTTCGAGAAGTTTCGGGCGGTTCGGCGGTCACTATGCTGGGTCTCCCCACTTCGATCTTCATCGTGAACATTGGTTCGGCCATTTTTGAAATCTTATGACCCACTGACGCACTCCACCTTCAGTGATAATGTTGTCCCCATACACTTCACGAAGCTGCCGATAGATTTCTATCGGTTTACAGTTTTTTGCAGTCAGAAACCTTATTACTGAGCGCACCTCGCAGCTCGCGGGATTTTCAATTAACGCAGACATTTCAAACCGTCACAGTATCTGAACGAACGGCACAGCACAGCACGAACCTCTCACTAGCACGGCTAGATGCAGACTGAGCTGCGCAACGCTCTGACCCCAAGATGGCCGCGCTAGCCCCGCCCCTAGCGGACACAGACGGAAACGTAATCTACTTCCTGGATGGCCCTCGTATTCAGATAACTACAAGTTCTGATAAAATTCCTAAAATAAATTTTTTGATTTTGTGCTTATACAGCAACAATTAATCTCATTATAAAGAATATTAGAAATATTAAAATTTTTTTATTAATAAACCAAGTAAACAAATTACGGAATACATTTAAAATAATTAATCAAATTAAATTAGGTATAAAAAATAAAAATATAATGAAATCAAAAGTTGCTAATATTTTAATAAGAAATGCATGAATCCAAAATAAAGAATGATTGATTCAGCTAAGTTTTTCTCAAGGGATAGACTTTAAGAACTATTTTTATGACATTATTACCTGTGTTTCTAACTCTGCCCACAAAATCCTTCCGATTAGCGTAATTTTATATTGGCATGTTTCTCCTCCATATGTCTGTAGGAAAGAGAATCACTAAGTTACATTAATGAAAGTTTATTGCAAAATTTTCCTGGTAATGTATTATCTTTTCTATAATTTTTTCAATTAAATTTATATTATGTATATAAATTTGTGGTAAAATTGTGGTATTTAAAAATGTCTTTGTAGGGAGAATTATTGAGGGAAGTCCTGCCGAGAGATGTGGTCAGTTGCATGTAGGAGATACCATTATTGCAGTAAATGGTGTCAGTATTATTAATATGCATCATGGAGACATAGTGAATTTCATTAAGGACTGTGGTTATTCTGTTACTTTGACTATTGGTAATCCACATGGTATGTGTATTAATGTTTAACTCTTGCCAAGTGTGTATATATATATTTGTAATTCAATTGAAAAGCAATCAAAAGGCAAAGACAATGTATATATTTCAGTGCCTCTTAAGCTTTTTAGCACCATTTTTAATTGCTATAAAGAGGCTTAGAATAAAGTAATGTGCGAATTAAATAATAATAAATAAGTATACTAAATTAGGATAAAAATCTTAATTACCTTGAATGCTTTTTCATTCTTAAGCCAAGTAAAACTGAACTTGTTGCTAATTTATTAATATGCTTTTAATTTTTTAAGAAATAATATTAAAATATAGTACAGTCAAAAGTCGTTAATTCGGACACCCATAATCCGGACCTCAAAGCTAAAAACTTTCTGCGCATGTGTGGCGTTCACGCATGTGCGTAGGCGTTTACGTGTTCGCGTAAGACCTTTACGGCTGCAAATATACATGTGCGCATGCGCCTAATATGTTTACACATGCACGTTTAATGTATAATGGACGGTATAAGCTAAAACTATCTAATTACTGTATTTATGCGAATCTAATGCGCATTGTTTTTGGCCAAATGTAGTATTCAAAATTAGGGTGCGAATTAGATTCGATTAGATTCGAGTGCAAAGTTTGCCGATGACGTCAACCAAATTTAAATCGTAACAAAGGATTACTGCATTTCTCGACTACATTTACCGTTACATTTATCGTTGACACATTATTGCATAGAGGACACAAACTGCAGAGTACGTAGTCAAGAAATGGAGGGCAAACAGAGAAGAATGTCATATGACGCTACTTTCAAACGTAAAGTGTAGTTCTTTATGCTGAAAAAAATGGCAATAGAAAGGCAGGGAGAGAGGTCAACGTAGCTGAGAGCAATGTTCACTTGTGGCGGCAACAGAAATTGGCACTGTTTGCAACTAAAGCTAGTAGAAAGAAATTCACTGGCCTTCGCAAAGGAAGAAACCCTAAAATTGAAGAAAATGTTTTGGAATTTGCACATGAAAGGAGGGAGAATGGACAACCTGTGACTAGTGACACCATAAGAAATAAAGCAAAAGAAGAGGCTGAGGTTCTTGGAATACCGACAATATGCCAAAAGCTTCCTGCAAATTTTGAGGAAAAACTACTAACATTTCAGCGGTATGTCATCACACTTCAGAAGGAAAAGAATTTTTCAATGGTGCAAATTGGCAACGCTGGCGAGACGCCAATTTGGTTTGATATGCTCGTAACTACACCATTACGAAGAGGGGGACTAAGGAAGTTATCATCAAAACTTCGGGATGTGAAAAACAACGCATAACAGTGATGCTGGCAATAACAACAGACGGGTGCAAACTTCCCCTTCCTTAATCTTCAAACGGAAAACATCCCTAAAACCCCTAAGAATGAAAAGCTGTTCCCAGATGATGTCCTGATTCAAAACCAAGAGAAGGGGTGGATGACGGAATCATTAATGCTTGATTGGCTCCGAAATGTATGGGAACGCCGTTCCGGTGGGCTTTCCAATCCACCATCAATGTTTTGTCTGGACGCAGTTCGTGATCATCTCACTGACGACGTAAAAAAGAAGATGCACAGCCTAGGCTGTGATCTTGTTTTAATTCCTGGAGGGATGACGTCTGTGTTACAACCCCTGGACTTTATTATAAATAAACCTTTTAATGGATACGTTCAGGCGGAGTACAAAAAATGGTTTTGTAGCCAAACCGTGAATTGACCCTGACAGGAAAGATAAGCGTGCTGCACCGCACATTGTTGCACACTGGGTTTCTGCTGCCTGGAAAAACATCGAAGCACCAATGATTATGAAATCTTTCAAGAAATGCTGCATTTCAAATTCATCGAATGGCAGTGAAGATGACGTGCTCTGGAACGCCGAGGATGACGACGATGAGGATGAGGAAAGAAGAAATGAATCTGCTTCTGACGAAGAGAGCTGCGAGGATTCCAGTGATGAAAACATTAATGAATAAAGACGTTTACTATTAACCACTGATTCTAGAAACTGTTAGCTAGATAGAAATATTACGATTTATTTCATGTTCATATTTTATGATAGGTACCGTATATAAGGTAGTGGTAATTAACAATGATTGTTTCACATAACAATAGCCCACTAATAGGTTAATTCTATGTGCTGCTACTTTACGTATAAATCCATTGTTATATAAAATATGGTATCTAAATTTAAGTAAAATTATCATACCATTGATTGATAGTTTATATGCAAATCCATTGTTGTATAAAATAAGATTCAATAAATTCCTCATACCATTGATGCGCATTACATTCGCCGACAAACAGTTTTTTTATTATTTAAAGTTTTAAAATGGGGATGCGCATTAGATTCGATGGCGCATTAGATTCGCATAAATACGGTATTTATTTCAGGTAATGTTGCAGATTGCATTGTTCCTTAATCTTCGAATTGGATCCAGCTTATTATTTTTTGCAGACTGTTAGAACAATTTTATAAAAGTAAGCTTGAACTTCCGATTATGTCAAATAGAATTTCCGATATGTATTTACTAATACGTAAAGGATCTACAAAGCGAAAGTATTTTTCGAAATCCATTAAACAGAAAGTGGAATTGCTGCAAAAAATGGATAAAGGCATATATCCTTTGATTATCTAATCATTCCGAAATATGTTTATCAATTTCACGCTACTCTACGGGGGTAGGGGGACGACACGGTGCCGCGCAAGTTGATCTGTCAGCAATATCGTTATCTTAAGAGCAGATGTTTTTATTTTATTTGGCTTATAATTCTTTACTAAATGTAGTATTTCATCTCGATATACTCGGTCTTTGATATGATTTAAATCAAGTTCCTTGTCATTATAACTCTTTTCCGATAGTGAAGAAAGTGACTCGGAGGTTATTGAAAACGAAAAAATTTCGATTGACAAATTAGTCGATATTCTCGACACAGCAATTATAGGACTTGAACAGCGGAACTTTCTAACTAAACAAGAAATTATGTCTGTTTAATAGAATTAAAGAGAAAGCATTATCACATGAAACGGAGCAAATTAAACAACTTACATTGAAAGAAATGTTTAATGAAGTAAACAAATAAATATTTAGCTTTCCCTTTTTGTAAATTTTGATACCCTTTAGATCATAATTGCTCTTTATTTCATAAATTACAGTTTCATAATTCATATTTATAATTTCTGCATGCCATCTTACCAGATTTAAACTGATGATCTGTAATCCAAAAAAATCGATAATCCGGAATCGCCGAAGTCTCGACGAGTCCGGATTAACGACTTTTGACTGTACAACTCGGTACTCATTAATGCTCCGAACACCATGACCAACTTTATCCGATCATGAGACTTTTTTTGTCACTTGGTATATATTAGCTTATAATTTAAGATATTTGCTTTCTTACATTTTTATATAATTTAAATGTCATGTTAATAAATGTGTTTGGAAACAGAGAATGAAATAATTAAATGTACAAATTTAACTAATAAAGAATGCTTAAAGACAGGTCATCATGATGGATTCAAAACCCCTTTCGGCTCAGAGGATAAGCACAGCGTTAAATAAGCTTTTAATTTAGATAATTAAATAAGCTGTTAATGTAATTAGCATTAAATAAGCTGTGTATGACGGCCAACGTTGCTGTGTAGGTAATTAAGCTATAAATAATATTGGAGAAGTAACTGCATATTTTCTTACTATTAATTTTTCAGTTTTAGAGTATTGGCAGATAGTAATTAATTTATTTTTAATTATAAATAAGAAGTAATTTCATTTAAAGGTTTTGTGGGAAAATTGTGTTTTAGTTTTAGGAAAACTTACATCTGTGTATTGTGTGTCTAATCTGTACTGAACAACATCTTGTAATTGAAAAATTTCTTCTCTTCTAAGTACAGTTAAGATTTTGTAAATTTTGCAAAATTGATTTTTTAAATTTAAAAACTCTATAACATTATTATTATGCTTCTCAATCTGTTAACGTAAAAAATTTCTTTTTAAATTAATATTTCGTTTTTAGTTATGTATAGCTGCAAACATTTTGCTCTTCAATTTGTGTACATAAAACAAAAATAACTACCCAAAACTCGGAAAGGAAAAAATATATGCAGTAACAGAAGTGACAGTACATGGTGTCATTAATATGCATTTGGTCTGCTGAGAAAATCTGCCATATTTTCTAGGTTTTCTGAATATTTGAATGGACTGTGGTCCCAGCCATCTGGATATTTACAATTCTTTTACATTATATGTTAATTAGTAATCATATATTAGAAATATTGATATATATATATATATATATATATATATATATATATATATATATATATAAATTATAAAAAACACAAAATTGTTTGTGATCTATCAGTAATAATTTCCTGACCTCAAGGCCTTATTTTATTGGAATGGTAACAATTCAATAATAGTTTGTTCTTTATGCTTGAAACATTATTACAGTCAAAAGTCTTTAATCTGGACTTGTCGGTACTTCGGCGATTCCGGATTATTGGTTTTTCCGGATTATAGATCATTAATTTTAATCTGGTAAGATGGCATGCAGAAATTATAAAATTAAAAATATGAAACCGTAATGTATGAAATAAAGAGCAATTATGATCTAAAGGGTATCAAAATTTACAAAAAAAGCTTAATATTTATTTGTTTACTTTATTAAACATTTCTTTCAACATGCGCATGTGTAAAGCATACATTCATTACGCATAGTCAAAATTAGAAAATTGCAACCAGAAGACTATTTGATGTTTATTCGTGATATTTATAATGACGAGGAATTTGATTTAAATCTTATCAAAGACGGAGTACATCGAGATGAAATACTACATTTAGTAAGGAATTATAACCAAATAAAATAAAAACATCTGCCTTGAAGATAAGGATAGTGCTGACTGATCAACTTTCAGTTCATTTCGCGCCGTGACGCCCCCGTAAGAACTTTCACGCGTGCGCAGAAAGTTTTTAGCTTTGAGGTACGGATTGTGGATCATTCCGGATTATGGACGTCCGCATTAAAGACTTTTGACTGTATTATTTTTTTAAGATGATATTCCTTATTTTAACCACTTCTGTAAGTGCATAAGTAAAGGGCAGAACAAATTTAGTTAATGATCATTATATTGCCCATTAGGCAAGTAGTAGCAAAGAATTTTTGTTTCAAATCAAAAATATACAAAAGTTTCATTTTTTTTTGTAAAAAATATGAATCAGATGACATTATTTCACAAAAATGTGTAATGTTTACATCAACTGAAACTAATAAATTAATAAAATACAGCTAAAATAAGGCATGTAATCAATGTGTCTGTTAATTAAGCTAGAAAAATTCATTAAATATTGAAATTATTCATAATATTACTGCCAACTTTCAAGTTCTGGGAAATCTGTGGACTGTAAAATGAAAAGCTATATGTGATTGAATTTTCTAGCCATTTTTCTCTGTATTTCTTTATACTTTTTGTGTTTTTATTTTATTTTTTCCCTAACTAAAAATTAAGAGCTAGGCTTTTTCATTAAAGAGAACACTTGATTTATACTGGGGATTCATTTCTTAATGAACTGTTTGATAAGAGTTAGCAAGAAAGATTTTTAAAGTATAAATCAGTTGGAAATAGTGACGTGCATTCATGGCTTCAAAGCGCTGGTGAGTAATATAAAGACCATGCAATGATAGTTCTGCAGTAATGTAAATAGTATGAAGGAATTAAAAAAAAGTTCGGATATATATATATTTTTTAATACAGTTTTACTACCTAAACATAGTATTGTATAGTTTTACCTAAATATTTGTAGCTCATATGAGATATCACCCAGTAAAAATCATGTTTCAAAAGTAATGACAGAATCTACAGAAATTAACTTTGTTTTGTTTGGTTAAGTACTGCAAATAAATAATTTAAAAGCAGACTTGTATTATAAAAGTCAATTTGTTAGAATCAGTTTTTTCATATTCTTTAATCTTAAAAGTTAATTTGCTTTAGGAAAAATATGCTGTTTCTGAAATGAATAGGTGTATAATGTTTGTTCAGAAATGGGTGGTCTAATTATAATTCATTATGTGAAGGGAAAATGAGAAAAATTGTAAAGTAATGGAAAGTTAATCCCTAATTTTTGAGTTACTTTCAAAGTCAGTATTATTCTCAAATAATAAAAATTTTACACTACCTGCAGCTAATTTTACTTCTTCAAATTAAAATAAAATCAGCTTCAAAACTGGTATGTAAGGTGCTTGATAAATAAATGGACTTAGTTTGATTTCTGAATGGTTTTTGGGCCAGTGATCTGACAGATATACTAATTTACAGAATTCTTGTGCTCTTTGAGTTGGTTGTGAAGGCATGAAGAAAATGCATTCTACACTTTGAAGTTTAGTGCAAAATGTTTCTCCTTTTTGGATCTTCTTTATTGGGTGGAGCACACAGGGTGATAAATCAGAACTGGGGGAAAAAAATCATTTGTTAATAAATTAAAACTGTATGAAAAAGGAGACAGCACATCTCAATTAATTGTGGAATTTTTATCATACTGCCTGTGTGGCCTTGGCATTTTCATATTTCCCTCCCTCTCTCCCCAAAATTGCTTAGAAACAATATATCATTAATTTTCATAAAATTTTGTAGTATTTTGATTTTTTTTTTTTTTTTTTTTTTTTTTTTTTTTTTTTTGAAATTTTGAGTTTCTATTGGCAATTATTTGATGAGGATAGGTTCCATGAAAATAAAAAAAAAGAGGTCAACAAAACTTTTCCATCATAGGAACAATTTGTGTATGGATGGATGTTTTTATAGGATGTTTCCATATTGGCTGATGCACTTTCTTGGTATAAGGGATAGCTTCACCAATGTCTCTTTATCTGTTATATACCTTGAATTGCCTAGACATGGCAAATGCTTTTTTTCTCTTGGAATTCTTTGCATCAATTAAATGCTGCCATATGCTATAAATTTTATCTTTATTGATTGGATTCTTTCAGTGCTCATGAAATGGATCACATACTGTAGTACATATCTGGAGATATATTGCTGTACTCTTCTATGTTCGAAGATCGTATTAAAATCGATGACTAACTATTTCGTTGATTTATCAGTTAACCCTTATATATTATGTAATTGTGTAATTATTTAAAATTATCTTTTTCTTTCTTACTAGATGATGAATCCAGCATTGCTTCGGTGTCTCAGAAAGTATGTGTGTTTATATTTTATATTGACTGTTTGAGATATATTCTATTGATGCTAACAAATATTCAGAGTTAAAGATTTAATAGAAAAGAATTAATATTCATATATTGGTAACAAAATTATTCTTCTGTGTTACTTATGACTTATTATATTTGTAAAAATAATTTTATTATTGTAATTGTTGTATAGAAATGAAAGTGGAAAGTGCAACTATATGACTCTGTGTTAGTTAACTTCTTTTGGTAAGATAATTAAGAAAAAGAGAGCAGTACATTCTGTTAGTTAGCTATTTCATTTAGAAATATAGCATTTATGGCAATTAAATGTTACTGGTGCGTATGGGTTCGATATGAAATGAATGCACAAGTCCAATGAAAAATGAACAAAATTTATTATTATCACAACAAATATGCTTAAATTTCCTCAAATATTCATTCAGTATTACAATATCTCACAGTAGTTATCTTTTAACTACTCAAACGTTCAAGAGAACTTAATTCAAAACAGCTAGAGAAAGCTAATCTGCGAATTCGCTACAATCAACAAGAGCAGTTTTCTAAACAAACTGAAAACAACAACAAACAATTGAGAGGTTTTCCTTCTTTTTAAAAGATTTTAAATTGCACGAGAGAATTTTCTGGAATTTCTCAAAATCAAAAAGAGATCTTTATTTATTAAATGTTAAATGCACATATTCTTGTATTTTTAATTTTCCGGCTTAGCTTTTCTATAATATTCATCACGTGCCGCACTGCATGGAGAAATAAAGCAATTTTATTTATAATTCAACTAACATTAGCTATTTAAATACCAAATCCGTAACATTACTTTTAGTTCTGGTTGCATAATTTTTTAAATCGTGTGGTTTTTCCTCAGTAAAGCATAATTTTAATTGTGCATTAAAATTCGGAACATAGTTTATAATACTAAATAAAAATTCGTCTATCTAAGTATAACATCAATTTGAGAAATTTTTTTTTAAAGAAGTTTGAAGTGTAAATTTTATTTATGAACATGCTGTATATGCATTCTGTGTATTTAAAAAATAGTGTGCAATTTTTGGTTATTGCGTTTGTCTATTTTTTCAGTAGATATATATACATGAATATTTAATTCTTGTTGTGATTTTGAATTGTAAGGTTTCCTAGCTTAAATGTTTCTGGAAAAATTTTTAGCAATTTTTTAGGCTTGAAGTAAATGAGTAGGATATGTGGAGTATATAAATTGACAACTATACCACTTATTAAATGAATAAATTATGGTATTTATTAACATGTCTGGCATTCACATTGACTATAGCTTACTCTTTTGCTAGAATCTCCTTGATAGACCATTTTAGAGATGTTGTGTCAGGGAAATGTTGTGTAAAAGAAAATAAGTGTTGAATAATTAGTCCCAGAATTGTGAAACACAATATTTAATCTTGTCTCCAAAAGAACAGTTTGACATTCAAGTACAGCCATAAATTATTAACAACCCAAGGTTTGATTAAAATAATTCAGTTGACAATTCTTTAACTGTGCTGTCAAGGACAATAATTATTCCTAGCTATGTTTTTAAGATTTTAAGTCTTTAAGTACCTTATTAACATGTAATGTCACATACACAAAAATGCAAATAAAAACCTTATCCTAATCTGAGAAGTAATAAATATAATAATAAAATAAATGAATAAATATTCGTATTTTAACACTTAGTTTACATAAACATCAATTAGTGTACATAATCCTCATTACATGCAAGAAGGACGTGAAAAGTACTTACATGAGCAGGCTTTACCATTTCAGAAATCAAAAATAATTTTCACCGTGCTAGGTAAACAGTCCTAAACAATGTCTGTATTTCCTGCTGTAGTCATGAACATACACAGGGTCGTTTTGTCACAGAAGCTGAACTCTAAGAGAACTCATTATTACATTTTGTAAACAGAAACTTCATCATAGTACAGTCAAAAGTCGTTAATTCAGACACCCATAATTCGGAATGATCTATAATCCGGACCTCAAAACTAAAAACTTTCTGCGCATGTGCCGCATTGACACATGCGCATAGGCGTTTACGCGTGCGCGTAAGACCTTTTACGACTGCACATATGAGTGTGCGCAAGTGCAGAATACGTTTTTGCGTGTGTGTTTTATGTATAATGGATGTATAAGCCAAATAATTATCTATTTCAGTTAATGTTGATGATTGCGTTGTTCCTTAATTTTCGAATTGGATCCGGCTTATTATTTTTTGCAGACTGTAAGAGCAATTTTATAAAAGTAAGAACTTTTGATTATATCAAAGAGAATTTCCGATATATATTTGTTAATATGTAAAGGATCTAAAGCGAAAGTATGTTTTGAAATCCGAAATCTGTTTATCAATTTCACACTGCGGCGGGCGCAAAATGAAATGGAAGTTGAACTGTCAGCACTATCCTTATCTTCAGAGCAGATGTTTTTATTTTATTTGGCTTATAATTCCTTACCAAATGTAGTATTTCACCTCGATGTGCTCTGTCTTTGATATGATTTAAAACAAGTTCCTCGTCATTATAATTCGCTTCCGATAGCGAAGAAAGTAACAGAAGTTATTGAAAACGAAAAAATTTAGATTGACAAATTAGTCAGTATTCTCGACACAGCAATTATAGGACTTGAACAGCGGAACTTTGTAACTGGACAAGAAATTATGTCTGTTTAATAGAATTAAAGAGAAAGTATTATCACATGAAACGAAGCAAAACTTAAACAACTTACATTGAAAGAAATGTTTAATAAAGTAAACAAATAAATATTAAGCTTTTTCTTTTTGCAAATTTTGATACCCTTTAGATCATAATTGTTCTTTATTTCATAAATTACGGTTTCATATTTTTAATTTTAGAATTTCTGCATGCCATCTTACGAGATTTAAACTGATGATCTATAATCCGGAATCGCCGAAGTCCTGACGAGTCCGGATTAACGACTTTTGACTGTAGTTGGAAAGCATTATTCTAAATCACTAACTGATTATCAATCCAGAATAAATACTTTATAAAATCTGGAAACGAGAATACCATGTCAGGAATATCACACCTCATCAGATGCTGCCATAAGCCAGTATTCTAAATTTCTAAGTCATAAATTTGAATGCTGACACACCTTTTTATTTCCTTCACTCATCAGAGAACAATCCCAAAGACAAAGTTTCAGTATGCTTTTGCAGTGCCCTCATCATGACAAGTACACCCCACAGATCATCGCATTTCCTTCTCGGGATTTTTCGTTCATGTTCTTCTCCTTTATCAATTCTAAATCATTACTACAGGTAATAATCTTATCTTAAATATCAATAAACTGGAACCTTTCATCAGTATTGGGCAGAAATCTTTATTGCTCTGTCTTTTCAAGTTATCTTTACCAAAAAATGTTCTTTCTCATTTCAGGAAAAATCTACACACTTTTCTACCCATATTTTCTCTCACTCTCTCTTTTTCTTCTTTATTTTTGCTAACTCTTCATCCAACTCAAAGGAAGTCCAAAGCTAAATACCCTCTCCGCCCCCCCCCCAAAAAAAAATTCACAGTTTCTGTTTTTATCTTGGAAAACTAATACTTCTACTAATCATCCTCATATCCCCCCTTTTCCCTTCATATTGCTACTCTCTGATCTAATTCAAGCAAAGAAAGGAAGCCAAAAACAAAGCCTTCCCCCCTTTTTTTTTGCAATTTCTTTTGTATTTAACCCATTTATTAATTAAAAGCCATTGTCTGATGCAACCACCATGAATATAATTGGTTAGTCGCAATCTGCTACAGCCTTTTCTAACTATGCAGCAATTAAAGGTGCTGCACATATTTTCTACTGCACCCCAAGAAAGATGAGTAGAGTACTTTCCTCTTCTCATTTACCTTGGGAAATTCTTGAAGGTGTTCATTCCTGAACAAAATGTATATTAAGAAAATAATACATTTGTGTACTGTTCTGTTTGCATTGTAGTTCAAGAAACAAATAAACAATAAATAATGCCATTGCTCTGAGTGAAGTTTTTTTTTTTTTTTTTTTTTTTTTTTTTTTTTTTGGGAAAGTTGCCATATCCATTTACCTTCTACAAAAGCTTTCTCACAATTCCAACATAAAAGTCCTTTTATTTTCAAGTGCACCTTTGTTTTCAAGTGTGCTTCCCGTTTCTCATTAAGGAAAGAGAAAACAACTCCATGTCTTCTCATACACAGAAGACGAAAAGGATCCTTTATTTACAATCTAATCTAGTTGTACCAGCGCCTACCACTCAACCCCTATTTTATCAGCAATTTCTGTCAATGAATCCACAACAATTAGAAAAGCCTTGAAGCCAGAATCTCTGCATTATAGCGAGAATGAAATTTGACTACGAATGAATGAAGCTCCTCTTCCTGTTTGTTGCTGATTTTGAGATGAAGTTGAAATCAATTTTTTCTTAATATTTATTTTTGGCTCATTTGTTGGAGGGCTAATTCTTGATGCTGGAAATCTTTGATATGCATGTAGTTTACTCTAATTTCCTATGCATCTAAATTTCAAAGGAAAAAAAAAAACCTAAAGGAATTGGTGCACATGAAATGCATTGATTAGAGGTGATTGTGATATTTTGATCTTTTAACAAAAGCCAAAAATTATAAAGTTTTTATTGGATGAGTATCTATTCCATGGATGATTGTTAGTAAAAATTAAGAATTTTAAAACTGTGGCTTAAAATACACTAATATGGCATTCCAGTAAATATAATGTTAATTCGAGAAAATACAGCAATTTTGGGGCAGGGGTAATGAAAAGTAATGCAATAAAACTGCAGCTCGACATTTTAAAGACATTATTTTCATTGAAGACATTTTAACTAATGAATTTTTTATTAAAGAATCTGCTGTTCCCATTTAAGTTTGAAATTGTCTTGTGCAGTCTTGTGAATTGAAGTCTTGTGCAGATTAAAAACTCTTAACATTTTGCAAGTAGTCTTTGATAGATTGAACTTTTTTTTTTTTTTTTATCTTTGAA